TTACTGTGTTTTTACTAGCAAAATTTTAATAAACCAAGGACTGAAGAGGCACAAAAGGCAAATGAGGTAACAAACACCAGCCGACATGTAACCATTACACTCAAGTCACACTTCTGACTGTAATTTAATTTACACTACTGTGCTGGGTAAAATGGTATTAGAAAGATCACTCTTCTGAATAAATTGACAAGGAAACCGTGTCAAACCACAGTTACAAAATATTTATCTTCAAGAAAAATGAAATTTGTCCTTTGACAATTCTCCGGAACACAACAAAAGCACAGATTATGACAGTTTTTAATGGCAGCCATTAGAAATGAGCAATTAAATAAACAGTGACAGGATTTTAAAATATCTTTGTGGTTGTACATCTTAATAAATGCCAATGGCCTGCACGTTCACCTCAAGCCTCTGCATTGCTCTCTGTAGGAAAAGAAAAATAATTTACGGAAGGACTTAACTAATAGGAAGCATTTGTAAAATGGGCTTAAAATCTTACAAGCGTTCTGAGGGAGAGCTGTTGAGATGGTTAGCAACAATCAAACTCTACAACTTCTTTGATTAGCAAATTTAGGTATACTTTTCCACTGAATGAGTACAGCCAATCTGAAAATTAGACAGTACAGATGCATTTCTGTACTGGCTACTGCCAAAATGCCATGACAACCGTTATCCACCAGCATCTACATGCAGACAGTACTGGGCTAGAATGTTTCAGAGCATCTAATAGAGTTAGTTAGCAGAAATACGTGGTGAAAATGTTTAGAAATGTCAAGGAAGCACATGTCTCACTAAGGCCTTGCATAAAAGCCCCCACTGCCACTCGAATCACATGTAAACACATTGGCATCTAAATTCAAAAGATAATTTCTAAGTGCCACTCAGACTATTGTGACTCAACACATGGGCCAAGAGGAAAATGCTGAAGAGGTGGTGATGACCAAAAAGTCCCGCCCAATTAAATTTTTGTAAAGAGATGTCATGGTAAGGAGTGCCATGCTAGAGAAGGTTGTAGAGGGAGCAGAGCTGGAGGAAGGTAACAGACGTGAATTGAGGTGCAACAGAACTACTGGCCATAAACAAAAGTGATTATGAAACTCAGAAAAATGGAATCTGAGAGGTGAAAACACGTCCTTTTGGTTTTCAGATGCGTATGTGTGTGGGAGTGGGGGGTGCGTGTTACTAAGCAAAATGCATCTGAAGTGTGAGCGAAGGCGATTGTAATATGAGTTCATGAGTTACAGTTAAAATTTCACTACAACTATCACAATTGTGAGGAGTGAATTTAAGTTGTGAAAGTGCCACATAAACTGTAAAATGCTATGTTCATGTAAGACAGAAAATATTGACTCAACCTGCAAACAAAACCTCCCACCTAACTCTGGGAGAAGGGAGGCAGGTGACCTCTCTGGGTGTGAAAATCTCACTCTGGTCCACTGATCCCCAGATTTTCTCGGCACCCCAGGCGCTCAGGCTTTGAATGCAGCACATAGACACTATAATTTGATCTACCAGTAGCTGTACGTGTGGGCAATGTCACACAAGAGTTGCGTGGAGGAAAATCCTTCTCAGGCTGTGGAAGAAAGGGATTTGCTTCCCTGCTTTGTAAGCCTCATAAATCATTTCTGCCTGCACAAGTGTGATATTAAATTACGCGCATTGTCCCTCTTTGAGGAAGGAATGAGAGGATCAGGAAAAGGTCCACTTAAATATTCAAAGACAGTAACATCTTCTCTCCAAAACTAACTACCGGGATAGAAAAAGATGTCTAAAGATGTACCAGGCATGTTTACACTACAATAACTGTTTTTTTTTTAAAAAAAGATTTTTATTGATTGATTGATTGATGCATACAGAACTGGGGTGCAGACCAGAGGTACAGAGGTGAGACCAGTGGTGAGAGGATTCACCAGAGACAGTGGGTGGCAGAACAGGCAGATTAACTGAAATACACCGCAGAGGGGAGCAGCGGACGGGTCAGGAGAGGTCTGCCGCACCACTGCCGTGCCGTGCCGTGCCGTGCGGGTCACCTCCAGGGCTGGGCATCAAACTCCCAGTCAAGTGGCTGAGGCTAGCCTGCAGTGCTGCGCTTTAACCTGTTGCGCCACCAGGGAGGGCCTTACAATGACTGTTTTACAGCTAGGGAACTCAGGCTTAGCGAGACTAAATCACTTATGTAAGGCCACTTATTCAACACCAAAAAACAATATTTAACTGTGGTTCTGTGTCATCTAAAAGCCTTGGCACTTTCTACAACACAGCCTTCCATCAAAGTAGAGGACAGAAAGATAAAGAGATAAAAGGAACCAACCCTGTAGTCGTAGCTTGTTTTTTCAAGCTCCGCGACTAGATTCCAGAAATCTTTTGGCATTTTGTATAATTTTCATTAAGTTTTTAAAGTCAAACACCAGTTTCACATTCTCTGACCATTAACTCTCAATGCACTTTTCATTACATTAGAAGCACATGCAATAGTTAGTCACCGTAAACTGTCCTAGGTTTGCCCAGAAAGAGCACAACATCATGAAAGTACAGAGATGAAAAAATATTAGAAACACCTTATTTTATAAATAAAGAAATTAAGGCTCAGATAGGTTAAGTGACCTGCTCAGGGTCACCCCACTTGACAGTTCCAGACTCAAGGTCAGAATCGAAATCTCCAAACTCGTAGCCCAGGGCTCTGTTCTTTGTCAAACCTATGAGAAATGACTGCATTTTAAACAATCAGTCCAGAATATCCTTAAAACCGAGCATAATTAATAAAAGTGGTGAGAAATGAATAGTTAGTTCATACCAAAAATGAGCTGCCAGTCACTGTGATAAGATCTGTTTCTTTCTGAGAACCATGGTTCCCTGCGGGATTGGAGAATCCAAACTGGGTTTCTTGCTCCTGTCCAAAGAAGTCAGAGTCAGGATGTACTACGTTCCATTCCACTTTGGTTGGTGTCAGTAGTTCTGAGACACTGTTTTCACAAAGAGTGCTTGAAGGAGTCAGAGCATCTGTGTCCCCCGTTAGCTTACTGCTGGGTGTCAAAGTTTGGGGCTCTTGACTGGACTTTTTCATAGTCAAAGGGCCCAGAGACCCCAATGGCCCTGCACTTAGACTGGAGACATCATCCCCTTCTAAGGGGCTCTGCTGAAAACCCGCAGCCGTCGATCCGAAAAAGAGGGAGGTATCCAGACTTTGAGGAAGGTCACTGGTGGCCATCAAGGACCGCGGGTCCACAGCCTGCCCTAAGGCATTGTTGTTGTTGTTGTTGTTGTTGTTGTTGTTAGCAGGGAGGTTCCCTGCCAGAGTTGAGCTCACAGAAGCCACATCAATAGTCAAGATCCCAGCGTTCACCAATGCGGTGTCCAGCACTGCAGCAGAGCTACTGCTAGGCACATCAGAGAAGAGAGACACTAGCTCTGCATCACTGAGATCCCTCTGTCCCTGGCTGGTAAGTTCACTGCTGGGCGTAAGAGAATTGGCAGCTTCCAGCTGAGCTAAGAGCTCCTGGCCCAGGTTGTGCCTCTTGGCCATGTGTGTCTTCATGCTGTGCTTGGATGTGAATAGTTTATTACAAGTGGAGACTGGGCAACGGCTCTTCCAAGTGTCCACAGTCTGCAAGTGTTTCTTGGAGTGAATGTAGAGACTGCTTCGAGCAGAGAACCTGGCACAGCAGCCTTCCACTGGGCACACAAAAGGCTTTGTACCCAGGTGGGTTATACTGTGGCCTTTCAGATGTTCGGCCCTTGTGAAAGATTTCCCACAGCCTTCCACAGGACACATGAATCTCCGGTCATCGTCATGTTTCCTTTTATGCCTTAAGAGTTTAGACATGCTGGTGAAGTTCCACCCACAGCCATCAAAGTCACAAAGGAAAGGTCTCTCGCCCGTGTGGCTCCTCAGGTGAATTTTCAGTCGACAAGCTTTGTCGTACTGTTTGCTGCAGCCAGGAAAGGAGCAGGAGAAGAGTTCCTGTTCCCTGAAGTGGGCGCGGTTATGGGAAAACAGGGCACTCACCGTGATAAATGTCTTCTTGCAGCCCGAAAACGCGCACTGGTAGGGCCTCTCAGGCTCAAAGTGGCTGCGCTGATGGGCGCTGAGCTTGGCCTGCGTGGCGAAACTCTCCTCGCACACCTCGCACTTGAATGAGTTCTCCTGCTCATGGCCCTTCATGTGGGCCTTGAGGTTGTACACGGTGGTGAAGCTCTTGCCACAGCCCTCGGCAGGGCAGCCGAATGGCCGCAGTTTGTCGTGCGACTGCAAGTGTCTCTTAAGCTTGTAAGAGGTGGTGAAGGTCCAGCCGCAGCCGCTCAGGGGACACTTGAAGGGCCGCTGACCCTGGCTACTGCTGTGAGTCAGCAGGTGCACCTTCAGCTGGTGCTTCTTGGCGAACGTTTGTCCGCATTGCGCCTCCGGACACAGGTACAGCACCACACCGGGGCCCTGGCCCAGCGGCCCTCTGGGACTCTCAGCGGCGGCCCGGCCCTCTGCCTCCTCTTCAGGCGCCGGTGCGGGCACCGGTTCGGCCGGCTCTGCCAACAGGACGTCGGGCGGCGCGTCCGGACAGTCGCCCGGCTGCGCAGCGTGCGGAGCCCCAGCTTGCGGAGCGACCAGACCCCCAGGCTGCGGGGCGGGCGCCACTCCCGGCTCCCAGGCTGGCGGTGGGGGCGTGGCTAGGGTGAGGACGCCGTTCTCCAAACGCAACAGCAGGTCCTGGTTGTGGATGGTGACGGTGCCCGCGAAGGCCGCAGCTGGGCCCAGACCTGGGGCGGGAATCGGGGCCCGGGCGGGGGCCACTGACAAGCAACGGGGGCCCAGCGCAGGGAGGCCCGCGGGGTTTGCGCCGCTCTCACCCCCCTGGAGCTCTGGGCTCGACTCAGCCTCCTCCCTCCATACGGGCCCTAAGGCCTGGCCAGAGCCGGCTGTCTCCACGTCGCCACCCACCGGGTCCAGCAGCACCAGGAAGAAGTCATCGTCGCCGCCGCCGCCGCCGCCGCCGCCGCCGCCGCCGCC